CATCCAGGTACGGGGGTCCCACCCTGATACCCAGCAGGGGCTGTGGCTCCCTGGTTCCAGATCAGGCTGTCCCCTTCGCCCAGCACCCCCATGAGCCTCCTGAGCGGAGGCAGGGCAGACCCCAGACCATGTCCCTGCCTTTGGGGCGCCAGGAAAGGTCAGGGGGGCTCTCCCCACACACCCCGGTGCTGAGGTTTCCCTTCACCCCACAGGCCCTAGCAGAGGAGGAACCATGGATGCTGGGCGCAGGCTGCCACCGGCTGTCAGCCGAGCTCCTGACACAGACTATGCCACTGGGCAGGCACTGGAGACCTGCCTTGCGGGCAGGTGAGTACAAAGGGGCCTCCCCTTGACCCCTGTGTGGCCCTGCTGCATCCGGGCAGTAGGCGCGCGGGATCCTGGTGCGGGGCCAATGCTTCTCTCTCCCCAAGAACCACCAAGCACGCCGAGCGAGTATGCCGTGGCTGCCACGCAGGCTGTCCTGGCCCCGGCGTTGCAAGGCATCCAGCTGCTGCCCCATGACGCTCAGGTGCCCACACTCACCCTGGTGCTGACAGCCTTTGCGGAGGCCTGGATGGAGCACATCCTTGCCCACAGGATCAAGTTCAGGTACGGGGCAGGTGCGGACATAACGGGGGCTGCGGGTCAGGAGTGAGGGGCACTGGCAGGGCTGGCAGAGGATGGGGCTGCAAGTGGGAGTGGGGTGGGGAGTGCGGGCCCTGTCGGGGTGGTGACAGGCCCATCTGTGCAGCCTTCAGGGTGCGCTGCAGCTGCGACAAGACCTGGCGCTGGTGCGGGTGCTGGTGCGGGCTGCAGCGCCAGGGCTGGCCCCCGAGGTGTGCGAAGCTGCACTGGCGCTGCACGTTTTCCAGCAGATGGATGGCGCCGTCACCTGCCTCCTGCAGCAGCCCGGGCCCCGGCCCCGCCCCCGCCCGCCCTGGCAGGCCCTGCGCAAGTGCTGTGAGTGCCCGCGAGGGCTTGGGTGGGGGGCCCTGGGCAACTCTGCTGAGGCCAGGAGCACGCAGGGCGCTGACCGGCTCCCCCAGGTGCGGCTCTGCGGCTGGAGGGGGTGAGCCTGGCCTGCCCGTGGCTTGGAGTTGAGCAGGGAAGGGGACGGGGTAGTGCCCTAGATTGGGTGGGGGGTGCTGCCTCTGAGGGAAGTCTGGGCCCAGGCCAAGCGAGGCCACAGGAGCAGATCAGGCCAGCAGGCAGGGGCGAGGCCCCCCCAAGGCAGGGGCGAGGGGATCCATGGGGCGTAGGTGCACCAACCTACTTTAGGGGTAGGGGCTGCGGTGGCACCGCCCTGAGCTGCCCCCTCTCCCCTTTGGCCTCGCAGGCTCCCGCCGTGGCAGGCGCACGCAGGCCCCCGGCACCAGCAGCCTCAACAGCCTGGAGAGCCTGGAAGTGGGGGCCCCCCCCAACCTGGAGGTGCCAAGCCCTGACGTGCAGCACCATGCACAGGGCAGCGCCACACCCGAGTCCTACCTCACCAGCGCTCAGCAGCAGTGGCTCGCCCTGCGGCTGCACGGAGCCCGGCGCTGGAAGCTGTCCTGCCTGCCCTGCTTGGGCTGCAGCCCCGAGCTCTGACCCTCAGCCGTCTGCCCTGGCCCCAAAATACAGCGGTCAGCACTCGGCGGCCTGTGGTGCGTGGTCCTGTTCTGGCGGGCACTGCGGGTCTGGAGTCGAGGGGCTCTGGAGGGGGCTGCCCCGGCTTGGGTGCATGCCCCTGCCCCTGCGCTGCAGGGAGACCCTGCTTCAAGGACGGGCTGTGCTGGGGGCATCGCTCTCTCCCAGGTGGCAGCCAGCCCCGCTGCTCGCTGTCGGCCCAGGCCCCTGGGTGTTACGGGGCATCTGCCCCCAGTAAGTCAGGTCAAGTCAGCTGGGAGCTCCCAGGCCTGTGGGGCTGCTGGCAGTGGAAGAGACCCTGCATGGAGGGGTCTTGTCCTGTGTGGACCAGCTGTGCCCAGTTCCCCGGGGCTGCATGCTTGTGCCCCAGCATCAGCCCCTTCTCTAGAGGGTCCTGGCCAGGAACCAGCCCTGAGCCTTGTGCTCTGCGCCCATGGGGCTCAGGGCTGCGTGGCCCCAACCGCCCTGCAAGAGGGGCCACGCTGGGGCCCCCATCCAGCACCAGCCAGCTGTCGTGAGTGCCCCCCTGCAGTTCAAAGGGGCTGGGGGCAGCTTTGGTTCCTGCCCAGCCTGGAGGGGCCAGGCGAGCCCCAGGCGGACTCCACAGGCAGGTCTGCAGCTCTGGGCCTCCATGCTGTGGCCACAGGGACGGTCCCTGCCCTGCAGCCAGGGAGGGCAGGGAGCACCCTTGGCCCCGGTCCCGGTCCCTTGGCAGAGCCTAGAGTCCTGGGCTGCTGCGGGCCTGCCTTTCCAGCCAGAGGCTGCTGCAGCCTGCCAGGCCCTGCCCCGAGGGTCTTCCCCAGCTCCTGGAGGCTGCTGCCTGCCTGGTCTGGCCCAGGATGGTGGAGAGGGCGCGGGCCTGGCTTAGCCTCTCAGCCACTGGCGTGTGAGCTGCTCCAGCAGCCAACAGCTGGCTCCAGACATCGCAGCTGGGTCTGCCCTCGCCCTGGGGAGCTCCTGCCTTGGTCCCCACCACCAGGTGCGTCTGCATCCGTGCTCAGCCCCGATGAGCCCGCGCAGCCCTGGCCTGTGCTCCACAACAGCATGGATGACCCAGGAGCCAGGGGGAGAGCGGCACAAACGGGCATTGGCCTGGGTGCAGGGTGGGGGGCACGGGCTGAGACGCACCTGGAGGGGTCACGCAGAGGATGGAGACGGGCAGCTTTGTGGCTGCAGCACAAGGATCAACGGACAGAAAAGAGGGTGTGGGTGGATCAATCCTAGAGCTGTGGAGCCAGAAGGGACCTTTGGGGGCCACATCTTGTCCAACCCCCTGCTCCAAGCAGGACCAGCCCCAACTACATGATCCCGGCCCCGGCTTTATCTACCTGGGTCTTCCGTACCTCCAAGGATGGAGACTGCACCACCTCTGGGTGACCTGTTCCAGTCTTTTACTACCCTCCTCGTGAGAGGTTTTCCTAATATCCAACCTCAGCTTCCCTTGCTGCAGCTTGAGCCCATTGCTCCTAGTCCTGCCATCTGCCCCCATGGAGACCAGCCCAGCTCCATCCTCTTTGCAGCCCCCCGGCAGGGAGGAGAAGCTGCTGTTCAGTCCCCCTCGGCCTTCTCTTCTGCAGACTCAATCAGCCCTGCTCCCTTGGCCTCTCCTCACAGTCCTGTCCCCCAGCCCCACGGCCACTTTCCTTGCTCTTCGCTGGACTGTCTCCAACGTGTCCGCATCCTTCCTGCAGTGGGGCGCACAGCTGGACACCGGACTCCAGATGTGGCCTCCCCCGTGCTGAATAAAGGGGAAGC